AGAAAAAGACTCCTTCACATCAAAGGTCACACTTCATGTAAGAGGAGGAAAGAGTGATGTTCACCCCTTTGCAAAGAAAAGGTCACTGTATTCTTGGAGTCTTCAAGGGTTTATAACAATCTACTTTTGCAGCTATTATTTCAGAATTCACAGAATTCAAAATTCACAGAATGTCAGAGCTGGGAAGGACCTTAGAACATGGAATGTCAGAGCTGGGAGGGGTCTCAGAACAAAGAATGTCAGAGGTGGGAGAGGAATTAGAACATGAGATGTCAGAGCTGCAGGGGGACAAAAGATCATCTAATTAGCTGCATCCCAGAGAGTGGAAGGTCACCTGAGGTCATCACACAATTATTAAGTGGTCCCACTGTAAAAAAAAATATCTCTGACTCCAAAACCAGTGATATTTTCCCCCACAGCCCATGACTTTTGCCATGGGATCTGAATGTCTTCTTGGCAACCATTTCTGGAAACCCCATATTGAGAAGAGGAAACTCCAGGCTTCCCTCAAGGAGGGCTGAGTCCTGGGCGAGGTAACCAGTGGTCTACACAGCCAGGATCCCCTCTGGGGTTCCAGTACTTTCTATAGTTCAGAGAACTTTCCCATGCTGGGTCTCATGATATTCATTGCTGACCTTGTGGGTATTCCAATCATTTCTTCATCTATGAAATGAGACGATTAGCCTCATTGGATAGGCTCTTAGGTCACAGTCTATGACTCTGGATTAGGAACTCAGAGATTGTCCTACTTAGAGGTCCAGAATTCTTGAGCAAGAACCCATCCCATCCCAAACCTTCATTTTACAGGTGGGGAAGCCAAGGCCCAGGAAGGTCAAGCGTTTTGCACAAAAGGATACAGAATCATTGGCAAAGGATAAGTAAAGGGACCTACTCCTACCTTTTACAGATGAGGTTCTTACGACCTAGGTAAGCGAAGCCACTCTCTCACAAATGAGTAAGCGTCTGAGGCAGAATTCAAACCCAAATGTTCTTGACTCCAAATCTCATTAGTGATCTGCCCCCTACACTGCCAGAACCCAGGCCTTTTGGCTACAAGCCTGGAGCTTTTCCCCTGACACCATCTTGAGAGGGGGGAATATAGTAAGTGGGAAGAAGAGGTTTGGCTGAGCAATGGGTGGTCTAGGGGCCTCAGAGATTTATGTTCTGCTCAGCCAAGGATGAATAGGAAGGAATTGAGAGAGTACCATCCATCGGTCACCCCTCTTTAATCCCCAGGTTTCGAGTTTGGGAGTCTTAATGGTCTTTATCTTTCTTGTTCTATCTGTCCCCCTCCACCTGGCAAACCTTGGCATAGCCCCTTCACGGAGGTGCTCAGTTACAGTTCTGTCCCCAGACAGGCTCCATTCCTCTACCTTGCAACCCGGTCCAGTTTTACTTCCCACCTGGCCTGGCCCCCAAGGGAACCCACCCTGTGTAACCTATTCCCTTGCTTCTCCAATCTCACCCTTTCCATCTGTTCACCCTCTCTCCACCTGGAATCCCTCATCCTCCCTCCCTGGACACAGAATCCAGCTCTGCCTCCCAGGGCCCCAAGCCCAGGCTTTCTCCACACTTTCCACCTGCTGGGGGCTTAGGCCCTCATTCTCCCAGCCCCAGCTGGCAGATGATAAGTAAAGGGACCTCAGCCTACCTTTTACAGATGAGGCTCTTAAGACCCAGATAAACAAAGCTACTCTCCCTTGGGGCTGGCTCAGGTATCTAGTGAGAAAACAGAGGAAACAGAAGACCCGGTGTCCCTCTGAAAGTTCCAGCCTGAAGATGCCTTACACCAATTAGGCCTCAGCTTACCCTGCCTAGAAATGGTCTCAGAGATAGTAGGAGACAGAGACTAGGAAAGATAGGGTCAAGGTTTTCCTAACTTCTTGTCATTTCAATCATAGTACTTAGAATTAAAAGGACCCTGACAGGCCATCTAATCCAACTCACTCATTTAAAAAAAAAATTTAAATGGTACTTTTTTTTTTCAATGAATAAACATTTATTCTCCCTTCCTCCCACATCTCATCCTGGGGAAAATAATAGGAAAAACAAAATCCCTGTAACAAGTATGCATAGCCAAGCAAAATAAATGCCCACATTGTTCAAGTGTAAAACAGTATTGTTTATTTTGTATCGTTAGCCCCGCACTTCTCTATCAGGAGACAGACAGTGTTCTTCATTACCGATCCTCTGGAATCATGGTTGGACGTTGCATTGATCAGAGTTCTTATGTCTTTCAGTTAAGTCTTCATTGTACTGCAAATTAGTCTACTGGTTCTGCTGACCTTACTCTGCATCAGTTCATACAGGGCTTTCCAGTCTCCCCTGAAACTGTCCATTTTGTCATTCCTTCTAGCGCCATAATATTCCATTAAATTTACACACTACAATTTCTCTAGCTCATGCCCAGTAGGTGGGCACATTTTCATTTTCCCAGTTTTTGTGTTTGTGTAGTTTTTTTTTTTGCCACTAAGAAAACAATTGCCATTTTTTTTTCATGCAAAGAAGAAAAAAAGATCTATCCTTCATTTCATCAGGACATTCATGGGTCAAAATGTAGGCTTGTTTTAGTGACTTTGGGCGGCATAATTCCAAACTGCATTCCAGAATAGTGGTACTAATTCATAGCTCCAGCAGCAGTGATTAACGTGTTGGTTTTTCAGGCACCCGTTCCAATGGTTTTATTTTTCTTTCTGTCAACTTTGCAAAACTGATGGGTGTGAGGTGGAATCTCAGAATCTCAGAGTTGATTTAATTTGTATTTATGTGGTGCAATAGAGAGAACATTGGAGGGGGAGTCAGGAAGACCTCACTCAGGTCAAGCCCAGACTCAGATGCTTACTAGCTGTATGACTCTGGGCAAATCACTTAACCTCAGTTTTCTCATCTGTAAAATGAAGATAATAATACCACCTACATTGTAGGGTTGTTGTGAGGATCAAATGAGATAATATTTATAAAGTGTTTTGCAAACCTTAGAGTATTATAGAAATGCTAGCTATTAATTCTAGTTGACTGATTGACTTCTCTGTTTTTTTAACCAGTACTTTTAAATATGGTTTGAGATCTGGTTCTGCCAGACCCTCTTTATACTTTTTTTCCCCATTGTTTCTTTTGATATTCTTGACCTTTTGTTCTTCCTGATGAATTCTGTTATAATTTTTCTACCTCAATAAAGTAATCTTTTGGTAATTTGATTGGTATGGCACAGAATAAGTAAATTAATTTAGGTAGTATTATCCTTATTCTATTAATTTAAGCTACCAATGAACAATTAATATTCCTTCAATTCTTTAGGTGTGTTGCTAGTTCTCAAAATTGTTTTGTAGTTATATAAATATAGTTCCTGTGTGTATCTTAGTAAGAAAACTCATATATTCCATAGTTATTTTAAAATTTAATTTCTCTCTCTTTCTGCTAGGTCTTGTTATTAACATATATCAACACTGATGATTTGCATGGATTTATTTTATATCCTGAACTTCGCTGAAGTTATTGGTTCAATTATTTTGTAGTTGAATCTTTGGGGTTTTCTAAATGAACTACCGTACCATCTGCAAAAAGAGATGACTGTGTTTCTTTTTTGCCTACACTTATTCCTTCAACTTGACATTTCTTGTCTCATTGCTTGGTAGCATTTTCTGCACTGTATCAAATAGGAGTGGTAATGATGGATACTCTCTACCTGCAATCTTACTGAAATAGACTCTAGGTTATCCCCATAACATATAATGTTGACTCTTCGTTTTAGATAGATATTTCTTACCATTTTAAGGAAAGGTCAATTTACTGTTATTTGCTTTTATTTTTCCAGAGGTGAGCATGCAATTTTTCAAAAGCTTTTTTCTACATTCATTGATATAACCATGGTTTTTGCTCTTTTTGTCATTGCTGTGGTTTATTATGCAAATAATTTTCCTAATATTGAATTAACTTTGCATCATCAGCATAAATATGACCTGGCCATAGTGTATAATTTTTTTGATGTGTTTCTGGAACTTCTTTGCTAAAATTTTATTTTTAAAAATCACGTCAATCTTCAGTAGGGATATAATTGTCTAGTTTTCTTTGATTTCTAAAGTGCCTAATTCTGACTCTCACTGGGTTAAGTATCAAGACTATATTTATATCACAGAAGGACTTTGGAAGGATCCTTCCTTTTCAAATCATTAATGTAATTTTGGGGTTAATTGTTCTTTAGATATTTGATAGAATTCACTTGTAAATTCATCTGGTTCTCAAGGTTATTTTACTTAGAGAGTTCATTTATGGCTTGTTTAATTTCTTTTTCAGAGACTGGGCTATTTAAATTTTCTATTTCTTGTTTGATCAAACTGGACATTTTACCTTTTTGTTAATATCCATCTATTTCATTTAGGTTGTCAGTTTTGTTTACATATATTTAGGTAAAATAGTTTCTAATAACTTCCTTTATTTCATCTTCATTTGTTGTGAAACACTGAATTTACAATTCAATTTGTATGAATAAAATATTTTTATACTGATTTGATTTTTGATTTTTCACTTTCTTTTTTTAAAAATCAAATTAGCCCATAGTTTCTCTAGTTCTTTGGTTCTTGTAAATTTATTCCTGTTTTTGCTTCCAACTTTCTTAATGACTTCTTTGATTTTCAGAATTTTTATTTTGGTGTTTAATTGAGTTTTTAAATTTTGTTGATTTTTTGGTATTTTTAGTTATATGTCCAGTTCGATTTCTTCTGTTTCTCTTTTGTTGAGAAAATGTTTGAAGACAGCGATTTCCCCCTAAAGATCGCTTTGGCTATCTACTCCAAATTTTGGTATGTGTCTCCTCAGTGTCATTATTTTATTGTTTCAATGATTTGCTCTTTGACATACTAACTCCCTAGGATTAAATTATTTAGTTCCCAGTAATATTTAATCATTTCTTTAATAGTCTTTTATGGAATATAATTTTTATTGCATTTTAATCAGTAAAGGATATATTTAATATTTCTGATTTTCTGTATTTTTGAGGTTTTTATGACCTGATACCTGGTCTATTTTTGTAAATATTCCATATACGTATTAGAATACATATATTCCTTTCTATTCCCCTTTAATAATCACTAGAAAGCTGTCATATATAACTTAGAAATTCTACTCGAGGGCCTTATCTTCTTTTTTGACTTTTTTTTAGGAGGGGTTATATGTCAGAAAGGGTTACATTGAGATATCCCCCACTATTATAATTTGACTTTCTTTCCCCCTATAACTTCCTTAACCTTTCCTTTAAGTATTTAGATTACATACCATTCAGTGTATATAAGTGAATATTGAAAGTAATTCATTATATCTCTCAGAGTAATATAATTTCCAAGTTTACCTTTTTTTTTTTTTATCAAGTCTATTATTGCTCTTGTTTCATATGGTCTTCATTTTTACAGATGAGAAAACTGATGCTCCAAAGTTAGAGTGATTTGTTCGAAGTCAGGGAGGTAGTAAGGAATAAAGTCAGGGTGTGAAGCCCATTCCTCTGAAGCCAAATCCAGTTTTTTGCTTGTAAATAGCTTTTCTTGCTCCATTGTTCAGGAGTTATCCTGAATCTTGGGGATCTTCCATGCCTCTCCTCTCTATCCTGTCTTGGAGAAGTCTTTCTGCTTAGGCTGAATGGGTGTGGTATTGGTTCTGAAATTCTCCCAGGGAGAGGTAGGCACCAGTGTTCAGGACCGAGTAAGAAGAAGAAACAGCATGAGTCTGGTCTGGTGTGGGGGGAACATCCCAGGGAAAGGGAGAGGCAGGCCCCAATCCAGTGCCTAAAGGAAGGCCTCCATCCTGGGTTGATTCAGGTCTTGAATCCAAGGAATTTTTGGATCTTGAGAAACTGGGGTCACAGGATGGGGTAGCAGCTGTGTCCTCTTCGGGAGGTGAAGTCTCCTTCTTGGCCTCCTTTCCTGAGAAAGAGATGCTTTGGGGTCCCAGGTTATTCCCAGGGCCCTGGAAGACCCTGGGGGAGAAGAGGATCATGTCATCTCCAGGGGGAAATGTGCAGTATGAGTCATCCTCAGGCCCTCCAGGAGGCAGCTGGGGCACCAGGGAGCCCTGCTCGCCTTCCTCTTTGTTCTCTTCCTCTTCCTCACTGAAAGGCGAATAGGTGAAATATACCTGGCAGGACTCAACCTCCAGAGCATCAGGAAGGTGGAAGAAAAAGTAACCCTGGTTGGTGAAGCAGCTGGAGAGAGAGTGACCACTGGTCTCCGGGGATCTATAGGCTGGAACCAGCTCCTTGGAGAGCAACAAGCCCAGGTTTGGGTCTTCCTTCTGCATCACCTCTAGTGGAGAGATTTCTGGGGCCAAAACGCTGGTGGTGAAGGAGGCAATGGGAAAAGGAGAAGAAAGCCACTTCTGCCAGAGAGGGGAAGAGTAACAATACAAAATAACATCATTACTCACAGGGGCTCAAGACCCACTTGAGATAGTTACTAGCTGTGCAACCCTGAGAATGAGTAGGATTCTTTCTCCCTCACCCTTGGAGGGTTTTTTGTTTGTTTTGCTTCTGGTTGGTGAGAGTTCAACATATCTAGTGGGTCCCAGACCCATCACACTGTACTCTCTGGCCATATTTCTGGCATTGTGCCAGCAGTGTACCCCTCCCACTATTCTTCCTGCTCTGCCTGTCATTACTAGGGGCACTAATCAAATCAACACCATCATTCCTGGAAAGGCTGTACCAGTTACATATCCTATGGCTCTACTAACCTTTACTGTGACCTCTCAGACCAAAATACCTCTCCCTGGACACCACTCCCCTACATGAGTTGTTGCCTATTCAAATTACTTGAGGACAGAGAATGTCTTTTTTTTTTTTGTATTTGTAGTCCCAGTGTTTGGTTCATAGTAAGTATTTAACTATTTCCTTCCTTCTTTCCTTCCTTCCTTCCTTCCTTCCTTCCTTCCTTCCTTCCTTCCTTCCTTCCTTCCTTCCTTCCTTCCTTCCCCACTTATCCTCTTTCTACTTCCTTTGGTAGAGGGCTGGCCAGTCCCAGGAGGTTGGGAAATGGCACCCAGAGAGCACACTGCTACATTTCTTATTGGTATTTTAGAATATAGACACACTTACACACACACACACACACACACACACACACACACACACACACACACAACACTGCAGATGAACTATAAATTGGGCCCAGAATTGAAGAGGTGGAGGAGAATACAATAGCCCTCATGGAAGGCCCTAATCCAGCCACCCTTCATACTCTGGACTTTGCCACCATGCCCCCAAGTGGGTATCTTTCATTTTCCTTGACCTTTTCAGGTCCCTTGTATATGTCGTCTCCTCTTATTAGAATGTAAGCTCCTTAAAGGCAGGGATTGTCTTTCTTTTTGCACACATTTGTGCCTAAGGCTTAGCACAGTGCTTGGCCCTTAGTAAATGCTTGTTGACTTGGCTTGACTTGGAGCTCTGAGACAAAAGAAAGGGGAGAGGGAGGACAATGTGGTGCAAAGATAAAAGGGCTCAATTCCACTACCCAGTTCCCATGTGATCTCAAGTAAGTTCCTTACTCACTTTGGGTCACTCACACTCTTATATGTCTTCCCCTCTCTGGGCCTCAATTTCCTCATCTGTAAAATGGGGGCTCCTCAATCTGGCTCCTTTCCTATCTAAATCCTGTGGTCATAGCCTTGATGCCAAGGCTGGAATCCAAGGGAGTGGTATGAGAGGCTCACAAATTTAGGGGTAGGAGAGAAGTTAGAGCTTATTCAATCACATCCAAATCATTTTACATAGGGAGAAACTGAAGGCAGAAGTCACTTGCCCAAGGTCACCCAGGAAAAAAAGTTGCCAAAGCCGTAATTTGAACTCCAGTTCCCTGACTCTGAATCTGTGTGCTCTAGAAGGGTAGAAGAACAGTGTGGTAAGGAAGAGGAAGGGGAGGCAGAAAGAACATTGGATTTGGAATCATTGCCCTTGGATTGGAATCCTGGCTCTGCTACATACAACCCATGTGACCTTGAACAAGTATCTTCCCCTCTGGGACTCCACTTGCTCATTTGTAAAATGAAGGTAGCACTAGATTATCTCTAAGGTTTCTTCCAGATCTAGGTTCTATGCACCTAGGAGAAGACAGGATGCTCATCCCCAAGCTTCCCTGGTGGCTCCATTAGGGTGGAAAGACCTGCTGGGCCAGGCCTTATTCCATGTGGGCAGACCACAGAGGGTTCAATCCTAGTCAAAGAAGCCTCAAAGGGTCATCGATCTAGAGCTGGGAGGGGACCCCCAAGGCCAACCCTATCACTTTCAAAGGAAGAGGCAAAGCCTTTTAAAAGCAAAGTGACTTGAGGCCACACAGGTAGTCAATGACAAAGGCAGGATCAAGACTGGTTCTCTGGCAAGAGTCATTGTTCTCACAGCTCCTTATGGCCTCCAGAAGCCTCGGGAATAAATTGTGACCCCTGTGGTATAAAATGTAGGGCATAGGGTCACCCCAAACCCCTTTACTTGAGGTCTCAAGAACTAGAAGGGACCTTCTAACTCATGTATTCCATGGAGTCCTCCCTACAGATCCCTGAGGAGAGATCATTAGCCCCTGCTTTTGAATACTTCAGAAATAAGAGCTTACCACTTCAAGGCAGTCCTTTCCATTGTTGGACAGCTCCAGATGTCAGAAACTTCTTACTTATGTTAAGCCCCCATCCAAGGAGGGTGGGAAGCAGGCTGAGGTAGGGACTTGGGGCCTGAAGGGAGGGGGCCCAGTTCTGCAGGGCCACCAAGTCATTAGACTGTGGACTCTGTGAAAGAAGGGACTCTCTGTGTGTGCTTTCTTTCTCTGTATCTCCATTGCCTAACAAAGTACCTGGCTTTTGATAAATGCTTCTTGAATGACTAAAGAGGATGTGGGACCCAAAGGTCATATTTTTCCAACTTTGGACTTCTCTCCTCCTCTTCTTCTCACTATTATGTGGAAACAATGTGGATTCTCCCCAAGGGGCCAATCTGTCTTCCATTCACCTTCCACTCCTCCACTTCTCAATTCCTACTCCCTTCCACCTTACCCATGTGTACACACACACATACACACACACACACACACACACACACACACACACACACACACAACTATACCTGGAAATCTCCTCCATGCTCTGTGCTCAATGAGGAAAAGAATTTGGAAGGGTCTGGAATGTGACATTTTAAAACCTTCTTCAGCCTGCCGGGAAGGAAATGAGGATGAGAAAGGGGAAAACAAGGGTGAAGGATGCCCCTCTCCCATGTGGAGACCCTTCCTCCTTCCCAGAGCTGTTTTTTAAAATTGTCAAATAATTGTTATCAGGACTGAGAGTGGGAATGCATGTCCATGCATATATACCATGACATACACAGATATACATAGCATGTGTCCACAAACATACAAGAACACATGCAAATATAATAAACACAACCATGTTATATATATGCAATGCATACACACACATGTTTCAATGTATAAACATACATGCATGATGTATGCAAATTGGTACCCACACAGAAACACAATATACTTGCGCACCTGTTCACATGCATATAAGCATGAATGCAGACAAAAGCATGTGAAAAATCCACCTTCCCAAAACACCCATGTAAAGGTGATATACACAAGTGTGCATGCAGGTATGAACATACATGGACATCTGAAATTCTGCACACTCACATGTATATACATGTTCATATACCCTCAGTCTGAGACACCAAGATATGTAGGGGTACCATGGCTTCCTTATTCCTTCCCACAACTTTTTCTCCAATCGCTCAAGCCTAGACCATCCATTCACTCTTGAGCTGAAGGATGGGGAGAGCAGGCTCTTCACTACTCTTAGACAAGAGCCAACCAGGAGCTTCAAGGGATCTAGGAAGGGGAAGGGAGAGAAGATGCCTAACAATGAGTCAGAGTGAAGAAGAGGGGAATCCAGGCAAGGAGGTAGTTCAGAATCTCTCACCATTTCTGGGAGTACCACTTAGGTACCAACAGGAGCACGAGGAAGATGCTGACAACGCCACACAGACCCATAATTATGTGGATCAGCCACTTGAAGGTGGACACTAAGAAGGGGAGAAAAAGTTAGGGGAGTTACCAAAAATGGAAATGAGTCAAGGATCTGGGGACATGCTGTGGGGAAGGTCCCATCCCATTCAGTCCCAGATCCAGCTTCCAATATAGGCTCATAGTACTTTTTGAGATCAGTAGGATATATTTTAATAGCTCTGTTTTATAGACGAGGACACTGACAATTAGTAGTCCATTAGGAATGAGCTGTCCAAGGTTTCATAGGTAGTCAGTGACAAGCAAAGATCAGAATTTAATTAGGTCAATGGATATTATTTCTCCACAGCTCCAGTTTAGACAGATTGATTTCCTCATTACAACCCTGTGAGGCAGCTAAAGATTATCTACATTTTACAGAAAGGGAAACTGAGTCTCATGTAGATGAATTGCCTTGCTTACATTGCTCCTCAAGAGCAGGGACTATCTCTCTTTTCCTTGTATCTCTAGCACTTAGCGTGATGCCTCACACTTAATAAATGATTATTGACTGACTGGCATTTATACATCTGGAAAATATATTTAGAGCTCTTAAGGATGGTTCATGTGGACAGATTCAGGATAATGAAAATATCTTTAGGGTGGAAATTATTTCACTTTTCATCTTAGTATTCCATGCACTGTAGGCTTCCATTGATATTCATATAATGTTAAGGGAACTCAAAGTCTCCTAGAAACCTGGACAGATTTGCTGTAGAAGATTTATTGATGGTGGCTGGGGATCAGAGAAGGCAGATGGAAAAGAACTCTGATTTGCATCATCACAGTGAATAGCCCACATTAATAAGAACACTGAAGTATCCCCAGTGCCTACCTATCACAGTTACTTGCACACAGTAGGTGCTTGATGAATTTTGAATGGTTTGTTAAGTCATTTAGCGTTTTCAGACCACCAAAGATCCAGGATCTTTTTCACAAAAACTGTTGTGACCAGTCTATCCTTTTCTTGGCCAACAAATTGAACCCCAATGTGGAACTTTATATTTATTCTTTATTATATTTCCTCACATTAGAGTCTGCCTACCATTCTAGTCTGTTTAACTTGTTTTGAATTTACCAGCCAATAGGTTAGTTATTCCTCTTAGCCCATGGAGGGGACCCAGCCCAATCCTCCCCCATTCCCCTCAGTAGCAAACTTCCCCTGCTCCTCCTCATTTTCCTCTCCCCCACTTTCCACATACAACTCTCATGTTCCTCTCACTTCTCTTCTTCCCCTTCCCTGACTTCGCTCCTTAAATCTTCCTACCCAGGGTTATCTATCACAGTCGCATCCCTACTCCTGATGACTTCTTCTGCAAATGAGCTTCTCTTTAGATACCTTGTGGTTTTGTCTGGAAGATGAGGGTCTGGCTCCAAGGACTCCAGAATGCTGAAGCCCCCTTTATTTCTGGTTTGCCTCGGACCTGGAACTCATATTTTGTGCCAGGAGAGAGTTTTTCAATGTAGACCCACCTCTGGTTTTGGTTTATGGGCAGCATGGTGGCTTTCTGCAGAGAACCAATGAATTAATCAATAAGCATTTATTAAGTACCTACTGTGTGTTCAGAACTAAGCTCAACTAAGTATTGCTATACAATGACAAAAAATGACAAATAAAATAATCCTCACCCTTAAGGAGTTTCTGTTTTATAAGGGAGATAATATGTAGCTATATATATACATACATACATATACATATATATATATATATATATATATATATATATATATATATAGTCTGTATGTATACACAAACAGACATACACATATCTCTGTGTGTATACATACAGACACACACAGACACACAAACTAAACACAAGGTGGTTGGGAAGGGGAAGTACTAGAAGCAGGAGAACTCCTCTAGAAGAGATCATATTTGAACACTGGTTTGAAGGAAACAGAGGGAAGAGAGGAGAACATTCCAGATGTTCAGCCCAGCCTGTGCAAAAGCTCAGGAGATGGGACTGTCTTGTATTAGGGACAGTGAGGGAATTTCTAAAACCTTAGAATCCTGGAATCATAGAACCTTGAACTTTTAGAATCCTGGGATCTTTAGACTCTTGGACTATTGGGATTTGGTCAATATGAGTTTCTATCATTTGTTGCCCTGCTTTATATCAACAGAACGCTATATGCGGGGTTCAGGGAAATAGCAGCAAGATGATGAGGACAATGAAGTCTTGCAGACACACTGCCCTGCCCCCCAACTCTCAGCTTCTTCCCCTTTCACTGCCTCTCTTCTGGTGGTCCTCATACCCTCATGCTTTTTCGATCTCTCTACAGCACTCTGCATCTAGTGTCCAATCCCTTATTGATACCAAAGTATCACTAAATAATAGCAGTTTAAGGTGTCTCCCTTTGCACGAGTGTGTTTGATTCAAGTAAAGGGACTGAAGGGTAACACCTGATCCTGGTCAATGTTTCACTTGGTCCCAGATAGCAAAATAAAGACTGAAGTCATTTACAGGCAATAAGATTTTGGCTAGATGTAAGGAAGAACTTCCTAAGGATAAAAGCTGTTCAATAATGTAATAATATGCCTCACTTAATAATAACAGTTATCATTTATGATTAGGTAGCATTATTATTATATATCATATATTTTATAATACATTTTGGACCTGACAGATTATTTCATTGGCATAAGGAATTCCAATTTCACCAAAACGGATCAGCATTTCTTTGGATACTTCTAGTCCTCAGAGAATTGGCTAGGGGATTAGGAGATGAAGGGATATGTCCAGGGTCCCACAGCTAGTATGTGTCAGAGGCTGTACTTGAATCCAGGTCTTCTTGTCTCCAAATACCCAAGGCCAAGTCTCTTTCAACTATGTCATATTTGCCTCTCATTGTTGCTTTTTCATTGACATAAGGCACTTCCCAATGAAGAAATGCCCTCTACAAAAGCAGATTGGCATCTGCTCTCCAACATGTAGTCTTCAGAGAATCGCTTGGGCACTGAGAGGTCAAAGGTCACATAGCCAATTATCTATCAGAGGTGGGACCTAAACCCTGGTCTGCCTGACTCTCTTCACTCTGCCAAATCGCCTCTCCAGTTACCATATTCTTCTATCCCCCCTTTAATCTGTTCCCAGCTAGGAGCAAGAGGTCTTTTAGTGCAGGAGTTCTTAACCATTTTGTGTGCGTCCTGGACCCCTTGGGGTGTCAGTCTGGTGAAACCCCTTCTCGGAATCACGCTCTTAAATGAATAAAATAAAACACATAGGCTTACAAAGGATATCAATGATCTAGAAATACAGTTATCCAAATACTTTTCAAAAATTCATGGTCTCCAGGTTAAGAACCCTGGTTTTAAACTATCCATCACCACAAGAGGGCTAAGGAATATGAAGAAGGGTTCTGAACAGAAGTAGGAAAAGGAGGAGTGAGGGGTAGTTCTCCTAATAATACTCCAAGCCAGAATGCTTGGGTCCTTCTAAAGTATCACACACACACACACACACACACACACATATGCACTCACACATCTAAGAAGCACGAAAGGGATTAAGAGTAGAAAAAGTTTTAGAAGACCTCTCCCAGGGGCAGCTAGGTGGTGCAGTAGATAAAGCACTGGCCCTGGAGTCAGGATGACCTGAGTTCAAATCTGGTCTCAGACCAGACACTTACTAGTTGTGTGACCCTGGGCAAGACACTTGACCCAATTTCCTTGTCCCCCCCCCCAAAAAAAAAGAAGTACTGCTCTAGGGAAGGAGTTCTTAACCTTCTTTGCATGTTCTGGACCCCCCTGACTAGTCAGTGTACCGAAGCCTAGTGACCCCTTCTCAGAATCATGGTTTTAAATGCATAAAAAACTAGGATTACAATGGAAAGCAATTCTACTGCTGTAAAGATTATTTTTCCCTATCCAATTCACAGGCTTCTTGAAATCTCTCCATGGATCCCTTTGATCACAGATTAAGAACTCCTAGATTTGATTGTCTCTGAAGAGCTTCCCTTCTGATTCTGAATCCTGTGGTCCTCTGCCTGCCATAAACTGAAATAGGATTGGACTATACAGAAGGTTTGGCAGGTACAGACTTTTCCCAAAAGGCCCTGAATGCTGAAAGGCTGGCTGTGACTGGCAGGGTGGTAGAGGTTATGGGAGGGGAATTGGGAGCAGCCCCAAGGAGTCATGGAGAACAGAGCAACTGAGAGTCAAACCTCAATACTCACTCACCTCCCAGGAGCTTCCCTGAATCTTATATCTAGCCTCGAACACCAGGTTATCCTCCAGGTAGTGCGAACATAGGGGGACTGCCCAGGACACGTTGGAGGCATGTTCTTCTTGCTGGATTAGGCAGAGGTCACTGAGGGCCATCAGGCGAACTGAAGGAGAAAAGGGCAAGAAAAGTTGGGGATGCTGGGAGGAAACTCCAATATAGTAGGGACTCAGTTAATCCTCCTTGCTTTCTTCCATCTAGTTCTATCCACTTTGTCTGGACAATTGCCCCCATCATCTGGTCTCCCTGGACTCTCATCCCTGCACCCCTGTCATGGCCAAGGTATAACAAGTAGGTCTCTTTTCTTCATACTTAATTCAAATGAGACAAGCTAAAATAATAATTAAACTAGGAAGCAGGAAAATAAATATAGGATGGACTTACAGAGCTTAGAGCTGATATTTGAGTAGACCTCAACTCTGACCACAAAGAAGCATTGGCTAAAACCTTCCAAAAATCCTAGAACCTTAGAACTGGGAAGGCTCTTGGAATCACATTCAATTCCTACACCAAGAGGATGAGTTTAAGGCCCAAATAGAAGCATGAACCAAGGAAGAACAAGGTAAAGAACCAGAGCATAGAAGATAAAGCCCATACCTTGCCTGCCATTGGTACCATGAATTCATCCTTCTGTTCAAATCCAAGAAAAGGAGTTGACTTTCTATCAACCCTATTTTATTTCCCTTTTATTTCTTACATTCAAGAAAAGGGAAAAAAGTTGGGTCCATATCCCCCACCCTATCTGGATCCTGATCCAGGATACCCTCACTCACTCTTCTCAAAGGGTCTGAATTCCTCTTGCATCACCATCCTCTGTCCCCCAATCAGACAGCTAACCTTCATGACCAGGACATCAACAACAGTCAGAGGCTGACTCTGGAAGGAAGAGAGATCAGGGCTGCAATGGGTGGTCCTAAAGCCAGGTCTGAAGAGGATGGGATTGGGGGAAAGTGGACCCAGGTCATCAGCAATAAAGAGCCAGGGCTCTAGATAGACTCCCCCTCCCCTCACACCTTGTCTTCATAGGCTTACGGGGCTGTAGAGTCAGAATGGATCATAGAGGTCATCTAGTTGACCCCCTCATTTTCCAGGGGAACAGAATTAAAGTCCAAAGTCTCTTGGGTCACTCCCTCCTTGATTCTCTGAAAGCCCAAGATACCCTCCCTTGCTCTCTCTGTCTCTCTCTGTCTCTGTCTCTCTCTCTCTGCCATTTCATTCTACTGTGTATGGCAAGGCCCAGCACAAGATTTATAGAATCACAACATTTTCAGGCTCAAAGATTTCATCTCATCTCATTTTCAAGTTGATGGAACTAAGGGCCAGAGTGGGATGGTCACTCAGCCAAAGTCCATGGCAGACCTGAAGCTAGAACTGCATTCAAATCCCATCGACAATGTTTACTGCCTGACTTTGAGCAAGTCTTTTTATTTCCCTGGGCCTCAGTTTCCTCATATGTAAAATGAGGAGGTTGGGCTGGACAGCATCTGAGACCCTTCCAGTGCTACATGTAATCCTATGGTCCCTTCATGTGTACAACATTGTGCTATTCCCATTGAAGCTGCCTAATATGGAGAGACTGTGATTTATACAGGTATAGGAGGAGGTCCAGAGGATTGGGATAGAAGATGACACCAGGGATTGAAGACTGAAAGGATCACAGATCCAGAGCAGGAAGGGACATTAAAGGTAATTTAATCCAATCTCCTCATTTTATGAATAAGGCAGCTAAAGCTCATAGAGTTTGGGACTTTCCTAAGGTCACATAGATGGTAAGCGGCAGATCCCAGATCTGAAGCCAAGTCTGCTGGCTATGGCTCTAGATATAGAGGAAATCTCCCTCTTGCCTGAGAACTCCACTGTCACTCTCTCTACCCTCTAAGCTCTGTCCTTCTGAAGATTCCAGCCACTCACATCGATTTCTCCTAAGATCAAGTCACAAGTCCAGAGTGTTGGCATCACACGGAGAAGCTCACAGCTTCGGTTAGCCGGTCTGCTAAGGGGAAAATTTACAAAAAAATTAGAAATCTCTTTTAGGGTGTCCAGCATTTGGGTCATTCCAGTCTGTCCCAATCTGTCCACATCTTGCTTGTATATAGTTGTTGATGCATTGTCTTCCCTCAGCAGGTCATGAGCATCTTGAGGGCAGGTTGTGTTTTTTGCCTTTCTTCCTGTCCCCAGTACTTGTGCCTGACCCACACTAGGTGCATAATAAATGCTTTCTTGACTTCATCTGATACAACCTTAACAACATTTACTCTGTTTCTTGGATTAGTGGGTACAACTGCCCATTCTTTAGGTGCCATGTGGTCACCTGGAGTCTATAATGCTCGTGGTCCCCAATGAGAAAGGCCAAAATATGGTCTACAATTTGGAATCCTATCCAAGGGATTCTAGAATCTGAGGGATTCTAGAAAAGTGGGACCAGGATCTTGAAGAGCCTTGAAATTGTGCTCTATGAAGATTGGCGAAAGGAACTGAGGACATCGATTCTGAAGAGGGGAGTACTTGGAAGTGACCTGGGTTTGGAGGTGGGGAGGAAGACGTGAAATCTGTATTCAAATATTTGAAAGGCTGTCAGCTGGAAGAGAGATTAGCCATAGTCTGCTTGGCCCGAGAGGGTAGAATTAGCAGGAATGATGTTAGTGGGAGGAGGAAGGGGAAGTTTCACTCTACACATGGGTTAAGGTCTTTCCTATCCTGAAAAAGAAATTCTTCAATCCTGCTATTCCCAGAAATTCCCAAGCTTCCTTTCTCCTCCCAGACTCCTAGAAAGAAACGTGGGTGCTCATGGCTGCTCCTTCTTCATCATTTATTCACTCCTCAATCCCTTGAGATCTGGATTCTATCTCCAACATTTTGTCCAAACTGCCCTCTCTCAGGATACCAGTGAATTAACAATCACCAAATCCTATAGCCTTTTCTCAGTCCTCTTCCTCCCTCTCCTCTATGTAACATCTGACATCAAGGAGTTCTTATTCCTTCTTGGTCTTCTCTCTTCCTTGGTTACAATTAAATAGAAGCTCATTGAGGGCCAGAGGAAGACAGAAGGGGCAGCTAGATGGTGCAGCAGATAGAGCACTGGCCCTCAAGTCAGGAGGACCTGAGTTCAAATCCAGCCTCAGACCAAACACTTGACACTTACCAGCTGTGTGACTCTGGGCAAGTCACTTAACCCCAATTGCCTAAATAAAAGATAAAAAATAAGAAGGAAGACAGCAGAATTAAGAGAGGGATAGTAAAAAGGCTTCTTCTAGCTGGAACTTGAAAGAAGCAGAGAGCTGGAGATGAGAAGGAACAGGATCCCAGCCATGGGGTGGGGGGAGGGGGAGCCAGCAAAAATTCTCCAAGTCAGAAGACGGAGGATCTTGTGAGAGGACCAGCTGGGTGGCCATGTCACTGAATCACTGAGTAAACGGGGGAAGGTGTAAAAAAGACTGGAAAGATGAGAGGGCTTTAGTTTTGAAGGGCTTTGAAAGCCAACCAGGATTTGTATTTAATTCTGGAGGTAAGAGAGAGACACCAGAGTTTATTGAAAGGGAGGTGAGGTATATATAAGAGGCCTCTTCCACTTGTGAAACCCCAACCAGGTCAGGTCAACTCACTATATTATAGTGTGTAGGAAAAGCTTACTTAGCTTAATAAGCCTCACTATATGGTTTCTCCTTCACCTTCAGGGCCACCTTAGTCAACAGCAGGCAAGAGAGGAAAGGTGGTCCTGAGAACAGCTCCTAGTGAGCGAGCAGGAGGACCTGACGGCCAACAACACAGGAGGTGCGAGAAGCGTTAATGACTGCCACTTCTTACTGTTGCCGCTTAGACGTGCCATAGAGATGGCATTGTTCAACCCTCAGGGTAGGTTCTGGCTTCCAGGTGCAGGAGATGTTGGCTTTTGAGTTATAGAAGCAGGACAGCTGAGGAGAGTCTGAAAGAAAGAAATCAACAACCAAGGCTTAAAACCCTCCTAGCAACATTCCCCTGTCCTTTACCGCTTACTTACTCCCATCATCAGCCCTTCCCCTCGGGGCATGGATTGATTTTGAATCTGGAGTGAGAGAATCCCGTTTTTGTAACCGTAGTAACAGGACTCCATAGCAGACCTCTCCAAGCCTCAGTTCCCTCGTTGTAAATTGAGAAGGTTGAACTAGATGTCCTCTAAGGTCCTTTCCAACTCCATACCCTATGAACCAAGGATATTTCCAGTGTATTTGCCACTTAAAAATCACCTTGGCTCTGCATGCACGCTTGCGCACGCACGTGAACACGCTCCCCTACAAGTTGGATGCTCGGTGTACAGACCTAAGTTATGGAACACGGGACTGGGAGATGGGTTTCCCCTCCCTGGATCAGGGCAGATGTTGGACAGTGGAACCAATGAACTGAAGCAGAACCCAAAGGCCATCTATTTCAACCCTCTCATTTTACAGAGGAGATAATTGTGCCCCAGGGAGATTCAAGGAGAGGTCAACGGTCACAGAGCTGCTAAAGGCAAAGCCCGTTTTCCTATGAAGTTCAGCATTGGGCACCAGTTTTCCAACGACAGGATTTCCTCACCTTTCAAGGCTCCTTGGATCCAAGGGAGAACAAGAAGGAGGAGGAAGAGAGGTAGGTACCATGAAAGAGGAGAACAGGTGGTCACACCCACAGGGTGAAGTTGAGTATGGGGCCCCTGGAAAAGAGAATGGAAGAGAGAATATTCCCAATGTATTATCACTCCACAACTCTCGTTATCACTATATTCATCATCACCATTATCACCTTCAAAGGCATTGTCACCTCTATTATTATCACTACCACCATCATCAAAACTAACAGCACTAACACCTCCATCATTATCACCTTCCTGTGTGGCTCTGGTTTGTGGCTTCCTGTCAATCCTCCTCAGGTGATACAACCAACATTCTGGGGGGTGTCTTCCTCTTGTTTCTTTGGCTTAACAAGGAGATAACTGAGCATGCAGCTCTCCATGCTTTGCTCTCAATAAATGGCAGTCCCATCGTCTTTAGAAAATTACACCATGCTTTGAATGGTCCCAAGCTTTTTCTTGGAGCCATGGCCCTTCTTTGTAATAGAAATATTCTTCAGGAGATGCCTTCTGGCTACAAGGCATTGGGTACCACAGTATCCAAAGAATTCAGGTTCCGGTACCCAAGGGATGGATGATGGAATGGAAGGGTGCATAGTAGACATAAAGAGACTATAATATATTATGTACAATTTGTGAGTACTCTTCCCACTCCCTCAAATTATTCTACACTGCACATGTACTTTGGGTTTACCTCATATTCCCATAACCTAAAGATGTACCTTGTATATATTAATATATGTATGTATAAATATATAATTATATATCAATAAATATTTGCTGAATTGAATTATAGTGTTAATCCACATTTTATCAATAAAGATACTGAGGTTTAGAGATGTAAACTAACTTGCCAAGAGTCACAGGGCTAATAATAATCATTAATATTTATATAGTCCTTTAGGGTTTGTGAAGTACTTTACAAATATCTGTCTTATTTTTTCCTCATGTCAATTCTGGGAGGTAGGTGCTGACATCTTCCCCATATTATAGATGAGGAAACTAAGGCATAGAGAGGTTGAGTGACTTTGCCCAGGGTTACAGAGGTAGCAAGTGGTTAGGGGGGCAGATTTGAAGTCAAGACCTCCAGTCTCTAAGTTCAAAATCCTAGTTCTGTATTACCTAACAATTAATAAGCATTGGGTCCAACATTCAAAGCTAGAGCCTCTGATTTTAAGTCGAAGACTCTTGCCATTATTCCACACTGTTTTTAGGACCATAGAATTCAGAATCTAATGGTGTTAGAGATCATCCTCTCATTTACAAAGAGGAAAACCGAGGCCAAGAGAGGGTCAATGATTTTCCCAAGTCATCAATTAGTAAGTAGCAGAACCAGGATTTCAGGTTCTGATGCCAATTTCAACGCTTAGATACTCTGCACACTGTTTCTTTGAAGGAACTCCAAGGAATAGAGTAGGAATGATGGGAAAGGCGCAGTAGGCTTGATCATTTGCCTCTGCCTCCTCCAATCATACTTAAATCATGTAGACTTGGGGAAAGGAGAGGAATGGGAAAAATTGTTTGGAAATGTTCAGCCTTTTCCAGTATACTAAAAACAAAACTCCCAGCAGTTACCATCTGGAGAGAAGTTTGCATAGTTAGGTCCTTAGAAACAGATGCAAGTCCTCTTGAGTTTTATTCCTGATTCAGCTACCAGCAGGGGAGTGGGTCTTAGATCAGGCCTGCTGTTCATCTGCACCCCAGTCTTCTCATCTGGAAAAGGAGAGAGATAAGAGGGCTCAGGTTCACAATGAACTCATTCCAATGGTATTGTAAGTTCTTCAGCTCAGGGACTCTGCCCAGACATGCAAATAACAACCCATTCACGCCTGCTAGGTAAAACCTTTTGAGATTCCTAAAGAACTGTGCAAATGTTAGCTATTATTGTCATTATGGTCATCACTATGATAAATCATCACCAACATTATCATCACTGCTGCAATACGTATATAATATAGCCCCTAGGGTTGCCATGAGGGAAGTACTTTATAAATGTTAAATAAACACTAGAGAAAGCAAAGTTATTTACTATTGCTGCTGCTACTGCTACTACTACTACTACTATTACTGCTGCTGCTGCTGCTGCTGCTACTACTACTATTACTGCTGCTGCTGCTACTACTACTATTACTGCTGCTGCTGCTGCTACTACTACTATTACTACTACTGCTGCTGCTGCTGCTACTACTACTACTACTATTACTGCTGCTGCTGCTGCTGCTACTACTACTACTATTACTACTACTGCTGCTGCTGCTGCTGCTGCTACTACTACTATTACTGCTGCTGCTGCTACTACTACTATTACTGCTGCTGCTGCTGCTACTACTACTATTACTACTACTGCTGCTGCTGCTGCTACTACTACTACTACTATTACTGCTGCTGCTGCTGCTGCTACTACTACTACTATTACTACTACTGCTGCTGCTGCTGCTACTACTACTACTATTACTGCTGCTGCTGCTGCTGCTACTACTACTACTACTATTACTGCTGCTGCTGCTGCTGCTGCTACTACTACTATTACTACTACTGCTGCTGCTGCTGCTACTACTACTACTACTACTACTATTACTGCTGCTGCTGCTACTACTACTACTACTACTATTACTGCTGCTGCTGCTGCTGCTGCTGCTACTACTACTACTACTACTATTACTACTGCTGCTGCTGCTGCTACTACTACTACTACTACTATTACTGCTGCTGCTGCTGCTGCTGCTACTACTATTACTGCTGCTGCTGCTGCTGCTACTACTACTACTATTACTACTACTGCTGCTGCTGCTGCTACTACTACTACTACTATTACTGCTGCTGCTGCTGCTGCTGCTACTACTACTACTACTACTACTATTACTGCTGCTGCTGCTGCTGCTGCTGCTACTACTACTACTACTACTACTACTATTACTGCTGCTGCTGCTGCTGCTGCTGCTACTACTACTACTACTACTACTATTACTGCTGCTGCTGCTGCTGCTGCTGCTGCTACTATACTGCCATCATCAGAATCACCGTCACATTGTTGTTATCATCTTCATCACCATAATTATCCATAACTGCCATCACCAAAATCATCCACATCACCATGATTGTTTAATCTTCCCTATTGCCATTATAGGTATCTCCATTCTCCCAATGACCATAACCATCATAGTCAATACCGCCCTCCCGTTCATTATCTCTGCCAACACTATCATGATTGTAGCCACTCTAACCATCCTCTCCATTACTGTCATCATCACAGTCATCAATTCTATTAGCATTCTCATTACTGTTACCATCACCATTATCTCTATCATTGCCACTATCAATCATCCCATGGAACTCTTTTCCATGTCTACTTGTGAATTCTCCATGGGGAAGCCCTCTAACATGCTGAAGTCATTCTAGGACTCTTGATTAATTATAGATACCAATGAAATACACAGTGGTCCATGTCGTGCTTTCATTAAAGGAAAGCTCCACTTTCTTTGGGAAACACTAGCTTCACCTACAACCAAAAAGTCTTTTTTGTAGCATTCACATTCTCCCAGGGACATCTTGTGACTTTGAGCCCTGACAGGCCACAATCTTCAAAGAATTAAAGTGGTGAATACGGGGAAAAGTAGGAAAAGTAATCATTTCACGTCTTGACGAACTAATTAGAAATCTCTTAACCATATGGTGGCCTAATATTAGAACGTCCCCAAGTCCTACATGAGGATATGATAAAGCCAATGGTTTCATTCACTAGTCTAACAACTACTTACTGTCCTTGGAGAAGAGACCACAAAGTTTTGTTTAAAAAGACCAGCTTCATTCCTTCTTCGTATTGTCTCCTGACCTGGCACAGGAAATATTTTTTTTTACTCTATTAATAAATCTTGCCACTTGCTTTCCAAATACTCCTCTTTTCTCTCTTAGTTGTTACTCATCTTTCTCTTTCCCTCCCACTCCTATGATCTAACCTAAGCTGTCACAGAATGCTACTAATTGGCTGAAGTGGGTCTGAAAGGTTGCAAAGGCCAAATCTGAACCCCAGAAACCTGAAATTGTTATCAGCAAGAGCAGATTCCTTAGAGGGGTAATTAATCTCTTTCCTTTGAGTTTGGCTTCCTATCTTTGACCCACAGTCATCAGACCCTCACTTATGGATATGTTTCTCCAAAGAGGTGGAGAGAATTCCCTGACATCCAAACAGCCATGGAGAGGTGCATTGTTGGCAAGAGGAGTCTACAACTTATTATGCAAAGGAGAAATAGCAGAAAGCATGGCATCAGATAGATTTATGATTGAAAAGAGAGGAGAGTAAAAATGAAATAAGAATAATAAGAATAATTCCCCTTTACTCAATGCACATTTTAAGGTTAACACAATGCTTTCCTAACAGCAGTTTTAGGTGGTGGCAATGCAAACATTATTACCCAGTTTTCCAGAGGGAGAAGGTGAGACTCAGAGAGAGGCGGTGTGGTATAAGGGGAAGATTGCTGGATTTCAAGTCAAGGAAAATGAGTTAGAATCCCACCTTTGCCATTTTAACATCCAAGATCACCTCCCTCTATTTGAGCCTAAGTATATGAATATAAGATCATAAATCCAGAGTTGGAAGGGACCTTAGAAGTCATCTAGTCCAACCCATTCCCTCCCCATTTTACATTTGAAGAAACTGAGGCCTGGAGATGATTACAGGATTGTAGATCTAGAGCTGGAAGGGGCCTCAGAGGCCAAGTAGTCTGACTCCCTTCCTTTTACAGAGAAAAAGCTGAGGTCCAGGTACAGGAAAAGTCTTCCCCAAAGTCACACAGATGGGAAGTAGCAGTGCCGAGATTTGAACCCAGGTCCCTAAATTCCATATTCAGCACACTAACCATTTTGTCACACTGCCTTTCTACAAAATGAAGGGCTTGGACTAGATGAAGTCTAAGGTCCCTTCCAGTCAAGGAAATCATGTTTTGATGATGTCCTGGTTCACATCGTTAATAAATCACAGAATGGGCACAGGAATCCCACTGTCCTTCCTCTGCTCCTACGCAGTCTAATTCAGGTTCTTACCCCGATATCCCACAGTCTAGCAGGTTTGCTGCTGGAAGTGTTGATGACGTGCTAACATCCCATTCTCTCCATAGCTGGGCACTTTGAAGGTCATGATCAGAGGCCAAACATCTCGCAGTCTGCCAGGGCTCCTCTCTCCTTGATTCAGTTGCTCTGTTCCTTTCACTGCCTGACTGTCCCACAATGTTGTATATTCTCTGTTTCTCCCTCCACACTATTGCCTCCTTCTAATCTTTTCAGTATGACTTCCATTCTTACCAGTCTACTGAAAACAGCTTCTCTCCAATCACCGCTGACTTCCTAAGGCAAAAATGCTATGGCCATTTTCAGTTCTTGTTGTGGTGATCATCTGGGAGCCTGGATGGGTTCACTAAAAGCAAGTCATACCATGGTAACTCAATGTTCTCTTTTGATGGGATTACCAAACTGGCAAATTCAAGGAATGTTGTAAACATGGATTTTTCTAGTTTCCCACAACATCTTTGTGGACTAACTGGATCATCAGACCCAGTTAGAAGAGTTCAAAGACAATGAGACAAAGAGTGATGACATATTAAGATCAGTCATTAATTAATGGTAAATTTGTCTTCCTTTTTGCCTTGCAGCTAAGTTGAATAATGAAGTAGTAATTGCAACAGCGAGTATTTTCATAGCACTTTCAGGCTCGCAAAACACTTTCCTGGTCCATAAAATAAGAGGATTGGACTAGGCGACCCATTTCTTCCTCCCAGTTCTGACCTATCATGGTTTGAATGAATCCTTGTTAAGCTGGAGAAAGGTGGAGTATCCCAGAGATCTGTCCTTGGTCCTATTCTATTTAACTCTTATCAATGACTCGAGAGGCTCCATGGCTAGCCTATAGAGAGGCGGGCTCTGTGCCAGGAAAACCCGGATTCCAATCCTGCCTTTGATGCATGCTTATTGAGTGACCCTGAGCAATTCACTAAACTTCTCAGTACCCCAGGCAAGTCTCTAAGACTCCAAGTTGGGGTGAAGATGCCAATTTGCATTTGGAGAGAGTTTCCCCATCTAAGCATTCCTGATGAAATCCCAGCCCCAATATCTTATCCCCACCAGCTTCTTGGATGAAGGCAGTGAAGTCATGTGCACAAGTCTGGGAGGGCTATTTAACTGGTAGGATGACTGAATCAGGATCTAAAAAGGTTGACACACTGATGGACAGAACTGAAGAGGAGGGAGATGAATAAGGATAGGCCCTTTACTTGGGTCCAGTAATCAGCTGCATGAATACAGGATGTGGAAAATGTGGGGAGGCAGCAGTTTGAGTCTAACCACATCACTCCTCTGCATCAGGGGTTCCTCTTGCATACCAGAGCACAAAACATCAGAGGAAACATCAGAGCTGGGATAGCCCTGAGAGATTTTTGTGCCCAACCCCCCAGATTTTATAGAGGGATTTCCTCTTCTGTGCAATGAGGGGTTTGGATTAGATGGCCTCAGGGGTCCCTTCAGTCTAAGGCTATGATCCTGAGGGATCCTGAAGGTGAGGCAGTCGATAAAGTTCTGGGCTTGGAGTTTTGAAGACCTGAGTTCAAATTTATATCTTGAGAAGGATCAGAGGTTTAGGACTGGAAAGAATATTAGAAGCCATTAAATCCAATCCTTTCATTTTACAAGTGAAGAAACTGATGCTTATGAAGGCTAACTGACTG